ATATATATATATATATATATATATATATATATATATATATATATATATATATATATATATATATATATATATACCGCCTTGTCACGCCACATGTGCAATTATCAACAGTAACAAGAACACGGCAGAAACCTCGTGCAACCCAATAACACCCGCACGGCAGAAACCTTGTGCTTCACAATAACAACAACTGCACGGCAGAAACCCCGTGCATCACAATAACAACTACCGCACGGAAGAAATCTCGTGCATCACAATAACAAGTACAACAACATAATGACAACAAATAAAGACATGTCAAACTAAAATATAGGATATCTAAACTTCTTTTAAGGTTGGAAATTTACTGAGAATATACAACAAATTCAATTAAAGATAAGCAGCGGAAAGATAATCATAACCTCAATTAAGACTAAACAATTACAGGAGAGATAATAATAATTCCCAATAAAGACAAGCACTTATGAAAAGATAGCATGACAATAAGAGAGGTAAAAATCTTCAGTTAAGTCAAATAAGAATCAAATAGGCAATAAGAGTGAATCATAACGCAATTAATTCCAATTAAGGCATGTAGAGGTGAAACTAGTAAATAGGAAACTCAATCATATTAAGAACAACTTCATACTCAGTGAATATAAGGACCTAAGAACCCTAAAAATCCCACTTTCTACAAATAAGTCTGAGCATACACTCGTCACCTCGCGTACACGGACTACAATCAACATAGAAGACTCAAATCCTAAGGGGAAATCACCCATACAAGGTTAAGCAAGATACTTAACTCAAAGAAGACAGACCATCAACAATAACAACAACAACAAACTCAGTTTGATCCCAACAGGTGTGGTCTGGAGAGGGTAGTCTGTACGCAGACCTTACACCTACCTAATGCAGGTAGCGAGGCTGTTTCCAATAGACCCTCGGCTCAAGAAGGGCAAGAAGAAGAAGATGAAAGCAAGGAAGGAAGAAAGAAGGAAGAGAAAAGAAAAAGGGAGAGATAAAGGATAATGGCAACAAGGAATACAATACCTGAGGCGAACAAAACTACATAACGTAAAAAAATCTAAGAATATGAAGGGACATGCATGCTACTAAGACTATCGGTGAACAACTATAAATTACCTACTAACCTTCTACCTTAATCCTCGACCTCCACACCCTCCTATCAAGGGTCATGTCCTCAATGAGCTGAAGCAGCGCCATGTCCTGTCTAATCACCTCTCCCCAGTACTTCTTAGGCCTACCTTGACCTCTTCTCAAATTCTCCATGGCCAACCTCTCACACCTCCTGACAGGAGCATCAATGCTTCTTCTCTTAACATGTCCGAACCATCTCAGCCTCGACTCCCGCATCTTATCCTCCACGGAGGCTACTCCCACTCTGTCCCGGATAGCTTCATTCTTTATCCTATCTCTCCTGGAACAGCTGCACATACATCTTAACATCCTCATCTCTGCTACTTTCATCTTCTGCACGTGGGAGTTCTTGACTGGCCAACATTTAGTCCCATACAACATAGCCAATCGAACCACCACTCGATAAAACTTACCCTTAAGTCTTGGCGGCACATTCTTATCACAAAAAACACCGGAAGCGAGCCTCCACTTCATCCATCTTGCTTCGATGCGATGTGAGACATCTTCGTCAATCTTCCCGTTACCCTGGATAATAGACCCGAGATACTTAAAGCTCGCTCTCTTAGGGATAACTTGAGCATCAATATTAACCTCTATGTCTGCATCATGGGTCCCGTCACTGAATTTTCACTCCAAGTATTCTGTCTTGGTTCTACTCTAAAAAAAGACAGACCAATACTCAAAAATAAACTTCTTGAGTGAAATGACCTCCGGACGGCTCAAATCTAACAAAAATAACTTCAAAGCACAAATAAAACTCATAAGAAACTATTCCGGATCATAAAGTCTCAATCTTTATCAAAATCTAAAAATCGACCCCTGGGCTCGCACCTCGAAACTCGACAAATTTCACAAAATCCGAACACCCATCCAATATGAGTTCAACCGTATAAAAATTATCAAATTCCGATACCATTTCGTCCCTCAAATCATGATTTTTAATTTTAAAAATTTCCTTCAAAAACCTTCATTTTCCTCAACTCAAAACACAAATTAAATGATAAAAATAAAGATAAAAATCATTGAATATAATATATTCTAGAAGAAGAACACTTACCCAATCGATTTTCTTGAAAAACTCACAAAGAATCGCTCAAAACCGAGCTCTACAAGTCAAAATATGATAAAATTAGTCTAATCCTCGATTTGATGATCTTTATTTTGCCCCGATGACTATGCATCGCGATCGCAAAAACCCTCGCGATCGCAAAGAAGGAAAAGAAGGCTGACCACAATGACCCTACGCGAACCGGAAGAATAGATGCGAATGCGGATAGCAGTAAGCTAGACTTACGCGATCGCGTGTCAAAGGATAAGAGCGCGAAGAACTGAGTAAGGAAGCAAGGCTACCAATACGCGAACGCGGAAGATCAAACGCGAACGCGATGCAGAAGATCTCACAAGTTCGAGATCGCGAACTGTACTATGCGAACTCGATGACGAAAAATGTGGCAGATCAACAGAATACTACTCGATCGCGACTGGAACTACGCGATCGCGAAAGAGAACATCAGACGCCAGAAACCAGCAATCCAAAAATAGAAGAAATTGGCCCGTAGCCCATCCAAAACACACCCGAGGCGCTCGAGGCCCCAGAGACCCCGTCTAAACACAGAAAAAGGTTCTATACCCTAACACGGACTCGCTCAGGGCTTCAAATCACATCAAACAACGCCGGAAATGCAAATCGCGCCATAAATCAAACTTATGAACTTTCAAATCTTCCAACTTCTAAAACTCGCACCAAAACCTATCAAATCAAACCGGAACCACGCCAAATTTTGCAGACAAGTCCCAAATGACATAATTGAGCTGTTTCAACTCTCAGAAGTGCATTCCGACCCCGATATCACAAAAGTATACCACGGGTCAAACTTCTCCATCTTCCAAACTTCAACTTTTCCAATTTTCGCCGAAATGCCTCAAATTACCCTACGGACCTCCAAATCCAAATCCAGACGCACGTCTATGTCCAAAATCACCGTACGAAGCTATTGAGATCATCCAAAACCCATTCCGGAGCCGCTTACACAAAAGTCAAAAATTCCAGTCAATTCTTACCGCTTGAACTTCCAAAACTGAAATTTTCCTTCCAATTTGGCTCCGAATCATCCGGTAACTGAATTCGACCATGCACGTAAGTCATAACACATCGTACGGATCTGCTCAAGGCCTTATGCCGCATAATGGAACTTAATTTCTCAAAACAACTGGCCGGGTCGTTACGTAGCCACGGGCCCGCCGGGTCCAAGGGTAGGTCTTGATTACCCATAGCCTCACGAGTCCATATACATGTTTTGTTTCCAAATTCGAGTCCTATTCGACTCTTAAATCCCAAATTTTCATTTTTCAAAGCTTTAAATCCCCACAATTTTCCCTAGATTCTCATGAATTTGATGTTAGATCTTATATATAATCATAAAATAAAATTGAAAGTTGATTAAAAGTACGTACCCGATAGTTTGGTATGAAAATCCTACTACAAAATCGCCTCCCATCGAGGTTAAGGTTCAAAATATATAAAATGAATCAAAAACCCGAATTACATATTTGAAAACAAGCTGCAGATGTTTCATTTGCGATCTAGGGTTCGCAATTATGAAACCCTCGCAAAAGCGAAGAAGCCTTCGCAATTGCGAATAAGAACGTGGCTGGAAAATGTCGCAATTGCGACAAAATGTTCGCTATTGCGAACTGGGCATTGCAAGCGATAGAAATGTTTGCAATTGCAACTACACCAGAAACCAGCAGTCTCCCCGACATGAAAATGACCATAACTCTCTCATACGATGTTCGAATTCGATGATTCTTTTTGCTATGGATCCGCAATTACGATACAGATAAATGCTTCAATAAAAACTGAATTTGGTTCTCATTTGCTTAATGTAGGACCATTTATTCTTGAAGAAACGACGCCGAAGCATAAAAAACAAGCGCAACACAACCTAAACCTATCCGAAACTCACCCAAGCCACTCGGGACCTCGTCTGAACATACCAACAAGTCCCGTAACACAAAATGGACCTACTTGAGGCCTCAAATCACATCAAGTAACGTTGAAATTATGAATCACGCCTCAAATTGAACTTAATGAACTTTAAACTTCTACAACTCGCGCCGAATCATATCAAATCGACCTTGAATGACGTCAAATTTTGCTTGCAATTCCCAAATGATGTATAGGAGCTAATCCAACTCCGGAATTGCAATCCGACCCCAATATCACTAAAGTAAAACTCTCGGTCAAACCTCTCAACCTTCTAAAACTTCAACTTTCCAATTTTCGCCGAAATGCTTCAATTTACCCTATGGACCTCCAATTCCAAATCCGGACGCACGCCTAAGTCCAAAATCACCATATAAAGCCGTTGGAGTCATCAAAACCCCAATCCCAGGTCAAATGCTAAAATTGGTAAGCTCTTCCAACTTAAAGCTTCAATCCTGAAGTTCATTCTTCCAAATCGATTCCGAGTAATTTGAAAACAAAAACCGACAATCCACACAATTCATAATATATCATGTGGAGATACTCGTGCCATCAAAATGCCGAGCAAAGTGCAAATCCTTAAAACGACCAGTCGGGTCGTTACATTCTCCCCCACTTAAACATGTGTTCGTCTTCGAACGTGCCAAGAGTCGTTCCAAGGCCATCAAATCACGGTGTAACCTTACCCTGCACATACCTGGGGGTGATCCCATTTCACCCTAATACATATAAGCCTGACGATACAACATAACAGAAGATCCTTAATTCAACCTTACCCTGTAAGCCATAAAACCCAAATTTCCAACATTCAAAATTCATTAAAATGCCCGAATCTCGCATCTACACACTATATAAGTCTGAACAAATTGTATTAATCATAATCATAACCCAAGATATAATCACATGATATACCCCATCACTTAGTTACTCACAACAATAACTCCTGACCACTATGGCTGCCCAAAAACAAATTTGGTACCGGTAGTAAACCTCATATCGATTGGAACCTCGTTCAAAACCTTCATACACTGCTGATGATGAAAGAAACATCAAAATCTATTTGTCACACCTCCTTTTTACACACCTATCCTGAAGGATAATGTATAAGGGAGTTTTTCCATTTAAAGTGATATTATTCGAAATGGGATTATTTATTTGTTTTTAGAGTCGCCACTTGGGATAGGATCAGCTTTTGGTGTCCCAAGTCACCGGTTTGACTTGAATCCCAAATCGAGGAAAATTTCGACTTCCCAATTGGAGTCTGCGAACCAGAAATTCTGAATAAAGAATTCTGTTGACCCGAGGGAAGGTGTTAGGCACTCCCGAATCCCGTGGTTCTAGCACGGTCGCTTAAATTATTATAATTGGCTAACAATCTGATTTTAATACATGTCATCTTATAGTGCAATTTTAAGATTATTCACCGCTTTTAGTTAAATTTTAAGAAAGTGAACGTCGTTTAAAAACGTGTTTTCGGATCACGTCACATGAAATGCACCCGGATCCTCGACACATTTTTATTCAACGTTTTTGGATTTGGATTTGGGTCGCATGAAATGCACACCCGTATTTAGGAAGGTAATTTTTAAAATAGCGCGCCTAAAGTAACTACGCGTTTGCAACTTTGCGAGGGCCATGAAAATTCGCTAAATGGGACACCTCGAATTCTAAGGATTTAAACAAAAATTAATTAAAACGAGGGCCATGCAATTGATTTTTATTTGGCATGACACGCCTCAAATTATTTTAAGAAAAAGTTCAAATATTTTAAAGGCAAACTAAAGGTGCTCCTATTTTTAATCTTATTATTACACACGTTACTACCAGCTAACGTGTAAGAGGCATTAATAAATAATAACATGAAACCAATCCAATGAATAGTGGATTAAAGGTGTGACAAGAGCCATATAAACATTCATGTGCATAATTCAACTCCATTTTGACGTTATCTGCTTACTCCAAAGTTCTCAAACAAAGGAAACTACCCCCACTGATTCAACAAGAAACATTTGCAATGAATAGTAGTAAAAGACCTTTCAAATCAAATAAATACATCATCCTCATAAAAAAAAAATCTACTTTTTGTTTCAAGCAGAAAACTATTCAAAACTTAAAACCTCTTCGTAAGTCACATGAGTTTGAAAGATCGATGCACCATGAGTATTAAAACCATGTGAATCCGAAGAATACACCAAAATAAAGCAGTGACCGCCTAACTTTAACGTTACCCTTACAGGAGTTCATACAAATAGACATGCCTACTGTCTTGCCTTTGTAGTGTTTTACCTTCTTTATTTTTCTTTTTCTTTTTGAACAAATGAAGAAATAAAGCTAAAAGAAGAAACAATAACAAGATATGGTAAGTAACGTCACATATCAAAAGATCAATTTTTGGGGACACAGAGCTTTGTCAAATGAATTACCAAGAACAAAATTATGGTATCTGTAGATATGGCATGCTCATATTTTGGGGAGGGAACCGCCTGTTAGAGCTCTACATGATTTCAAAATAGAATACTCCCAGCACAAAAATCATTTGTTGTCACCACACAAAAGTATAAAGAGATTCAGTTCCAATCCTTATGAACTCACAAAAATACAGCCATTATATCATGTTCACAAGTTTATGGAAACTAACAAAGAAGGTTTAATAGGCAAAAATAGTCGAACCCATCATTACTAACAAGCTCTCATTCAACCACGACCGAGAAATAGAACAAGGCAGGAGTAATAAAAGGTACCTGTTAGGCCGAATTTTCTTAATAACTGTTGAATAATCAACAAATACACAGATTCGGATCCAAATTCAACGAGCAACAGCAGCAAACAAGCCAGGGCAAAAGCAGCAGATTCGAACAAGGAGCAGCAGCAAATTTTCAACCATAGCAATATTTTAAAACCCAGAAAAATAAAAATAAATAGCAGCGGCTCGTTCCAGCCTTGGAGCTCGTCGGCGAGAGAAACTCAGGCACAAGAGGGATTTATAGGAGGAGAAATTGAAGTGTTGATGGCTTTTTTTTTTTTTTTTGGGGACTTTTTGGTGTAATGATTTCAACGGGGTTTTCATCACTTTTACATGGGTTTGGGGCTGGTTTGAGCTCGAGTTTTAGAGCGGAAAATGGTGGTGTTCATGGTGTTCTAAGAGAAGTCCATGGCTGAAATTTCAGGCCAATCCCATCCCCTTTTTATTTTTCTTTTCCCGGATCCCCTATCTCACTGTATCGTCCTCCCTTCCTCTCTATCTATCTGTGAAGATGAGAAGATGAGTAGAAGTGGTCAGATGAGAGGAATGAAGAAGAAGCAACGGAATCGGCGTTGTTCTCTATGTAGGGGTCTATCCAAAATCTAATATATTTTGTGCTTTAGCTCTCCTTTTATACGAGGGATTAGGGCAAATGATAATGAGTATTTGGGTAGGGAGATTGAGTTTTGAGTGGATTATTGGGTTTGGACAAATTTGGGTATAAGCTTTGGGCTCAGCATTAATTTGGTCTAATTTCACAAGACAACCTTTCTTCTTCAATTCTTTCTTTTATTTTCTAATTTTTCCTTTTTCTTTTAATTAAAATCCTACAAATTAACAATTCAAAATTATCCAAAATGTAAAATTAAACTAACTAGCTAATTATAAAATTATAAACAACACTTAATTTTATATTAAAAGTGAAAAATCAATAAACCAAAATAAAAAACAAATAAATGTAAGAATGAGCTATTTTTGTGATTTTTTAATTTTTTTTTTTATAAAATAAGTAACTATCGATTAATCCTAAAAAAAAATGTAAAAATAAAGCCTAAATGCCATGCGTGATATTTTGGTATTTTTTCATGATTAAAATAAAAATTAAACATGCACAAAATGCAAACAATTAAAAATTCTACAAAAAATCCTAAAATGGCCGATAATTAACAAAAAATCTATTTTTCTTGGGATTTTATAGGAGTATTTCGTATAGGGCAAACATCACGTGCTTACACTCTTAACCACTCATTTGATCCATAAGCCGAGAAGTTTACTCGTCCGACCAGGGCCATTGCCCAAATCCTCCGCAAAAATATAGTATCATTCTTCCATATATTCCTTATCCTAATACGATAGTGCAAATCTCAGGTCTAGAAAGCTCATCTCAGCCAATACAAGCAGACCCACCGACCAGTCTCAACAAAAATTATGCTACACCCCATGTTTTCGTATGTGAAAGTAGGCCATAAGTAAATTGATGAAAGCTCAAAAATGAGAAGTTACATTGCACATTTTCACACGTTAAAGTTTCGTCGTAAATTAATCGACGTACGTTTGGGAATGAGATTATTTTGGGATTATAAGTATTATGCTATTTCAATCATGTAATAAGTAAATTCATGAAGGTGAGAGGGTAAGCGAATCGAAGAAAATGAGTTTCGTCAAAGTTTGACAATTTGGGATAAAATACGATCCGAGCCGTAATACCCGATAATTATGGACTAGTACCATACAAGTTACTACATGACCATGATAGTAAGTGTATATAGTGTGTTAAAAGTGAGTAGTATTTTAGGTAATTTGAGATAATTCTTAATTATGTGGATAAGTGGGTAATTATGAATTTTTAGTGGGAGATTAATTAAGTAATTAAGTTAATTAGATAATTAAGATTACATGGATAAGGCTAAACCCCCCTCCCCCCCCCCCCCAAAGTGGCAGCCAATCACCCCAACCTAATGAATCCTAAGTTATTATTGTAAGGTGGCCTAATTAGGGGCCTTTAGGCAAGGATGAGTCATCCTAGTGGGGCCCACACGTAAAGGATAAAAATAACTTCTCTAATTCACCAAAATGGTTTGCTCATCTCTAATAATTTAAGAGAGAAAGCTTCAGCAAAGATGCTAATTTTCAATAGCAACATAGTTACTTCAAACGTTTCATACTAGACTATTTAACGCGGGATTTTGCGATTCTAAATGAGTACGGTGCAATCTTTCTCAAAGAATATCATACAAATTTTCCCTTACTTCAATTCGCCGTTACATGTTTTATCGCAATCAATGTGTGTTAGAGGGATTGTTAAGAAAAATCGGCTCAGGTATGTTAAGGCTATCCCTTCTTTCCTTTTTGGCATGTTCCATACGATACAAACGAAATGAGCAAATGCACAACTCCCCTGAATGACTCTATTCATAGAAATACTAGAGATGCCTATGTTCTTGATTCCCCATGTGTCCTATTATTCTATCATCTGTTCATGGGTCTCAGAAAATGCGTAAGTTGATAAAGTTTACTTTATGACATTAATCAAAGGCATAATGGTCTTATGACATTCTAAAAGATTTTATTGACGTACTTCTCATACACTGCATTCATTTATACATTTATATTGACCCATGACCAGATGGAGTTTTATATATATATATATATATATATATATATATATATATATATATATGGGATATGGGAAAAGGTTACGACATTATATACGCACCACCACCTGGTCAGCTGGTATACGTTGATGATTTTTTCCATAGTGGTCGAGATGATATGATGGGATGTCCTCAGAGGCTTGATGATGTTATGAACACATGTACCTATGCACGACATGACATTTATACGCATATGCATGCCACTATAAGTATTCCATGATTTACAGAGTTATCCAAACTTACAAGTTGAGTCAGCTACTCCATGTTTCTTCCATGTCTTTTATATACTTATTTATATGCCTTACATACTCGGTACATTATTCGTACTGACGTCCTTTTATTAGGGATGCTGCATTCATGCCTGCAGGTATAGATAATCAGTTTGACGAGCCCTCATAGTAGACGAGGTTAGCATTCAACGGAGGATCAGTAAGACTCCACCTCATTTGGAGTGCAGCCGAGTCTATGAGTCATCGTGTCAGAATTTTGCTACAGACTTATGGGTAGGCCGATACCCTGTCCCATTCGATGTCTAATACTCTTAGAGGCTTTGTAGATAGAGGTTTATTTTGTACAGTATGTCAGAGGCCTTGACGGCTCATATGTACTCAAATTTTAAGAAAAATGGTTCATTGATAAAGTGCTTTCCCACTTATAGTTATACATTACGAGTTGTGGACATGTTGGCCTAGTTACCAATAACAGTACGATAAGAAAGATATGTTATGTTGGTACTCAGTTGAGTAAAGCACCGGGTGCCCGTCGCGACCCTTCAGTTTGGGTCGTGACAAAAGTGGTATCAGAGCAGTTCTATCCTAGGGAGTCTACGAGCCGTGTCTAGTAGAGTCTTGTTTATGGGTGTGTTGTGCACCACACCTATAAGAAGGAGGGTACATGGCATTTAGGACTGTCACTCTTTCTTTTTTACTCTAGATCATGGGGTAGAGCTCAGTTGTAAGAAGTAAATTTCCTAAACTCTATCTTATTCATAATACGACGATGCCTATGTCTAGAAAGAAGCTTGGTAAGGGATTGAATGCAACCGCGGAAGAGTTGAGTTAGAGGAACTCGAATTTGCATCATGCTTATGATGAGTAAATGTAAGGTTTCCAGCAGATCATATGTGTGCTAAGACGTGTGAGCTTTTGGAAAAGGAGCCCTAGGGCATGGATATATATCCACCCATATAGTAAAAAGCAACGAGAGATTAAGAAGGTGGATACAAACTTCAACAAGTAAAAGGAGCAAGATGAGAAGGGTATGAGGTACCTAGTTAATGAAGATTATCATTATTTATAACTCAGGCAGAAGAATATAAGCATTGTGAGTTAGCTTCAACAGTAACAGAGGTATGTATAATTGGCCACACACATCTCAGTTATGCCCTATGGGGCTAACATGTGTAGTTTAAGAAAAAGACGGGATATCAGGATCCGGATGGGGTTAGAGTAACCCAAAATGGTGAATGGATTGTTACTGTAAGGTGACATTTCCGGTTGCAAAAGGTGCTAATAGATCAACTTGTGAGACACCTAGGTGGTGCACTCTAGAATAGTATAGCTTGATATGAATACTAGAATGTTCAATGTTTTTTTACAAAGATAGGCACTGGAAGCTTAGAAGGGATAATCTTAACCATAGTATGGCTCCCGTTTCTAGTGAAGAAAGAATGTTAGGCAACTCGAAGAGCCAGTAGATGGAGCAAAGGGAGCTAAAAGCAAAAGAATGTCTTATTCGAGTTTTCAGAATAAAGTGTTAGACATGAGTGTTAGCGGGAAATAAGAAGAGAGTTAATGAAGCATTATGAGTAAGATGTGATACATGGATGAAAATGGTAGATAAAAAAGATGACGATATTACAGAGTCTATAGTCAATTAAAGGAAAAGATGAGAGGTGATAGGCCTTGAGACAACAAAAGAGTATAGGCCATAAAGTCATATCCTCATTTCGAGAAATAAGTTCACGACTCTAACGTGATTACCAGAAGGAAAAGTAAGACCCCTGAATAATAGAAATCAGTATGGGCTGGTGAACAAGATAAACTAACACATGAATTACGAACTGAGTGATTTGATAATAGTCGGCATCATGAGAATTTCAGATTTGCGTTCCTGCGATAAAATAATGGACGACAGAAGAATAACCTTTAAAGGTCATTTAGGAAGACGCTTCCCTAAAGTAAGCAATGTGAGCAAAGTTCAACTTAAGGGACTATATGTTCCAGTTATACTAAGTTTCACCCTCGTGAGTAAGGAATTTTGTTATCTTTGGTATAGAAGGATTACCGCAAGGCGAGTAAGGGTCATCAATGATGTGAAAAGACGCCAAAGATGAAAAGGTAAAACATCTATAGGAAGATCGTCATGGCTCAAACTCTTAGTACTCCCCTAAAGGGGGGAATATGAAGTGATGTGGAATTAAGTCAGAATTAAGTGATTCTAGTAACTATGGGATGGTAAAGGAAGAATGCGATAAAAATGAGAATGGGACGAGATTGCACTTATTCAAATCCTACAGATATGCTACGATTCCAAAACATTATGCAAACACCACGTCAAGGAGCGGAAATAAGGGTTCCTGGTTGAGATGTTAGGGATAAATAAGGAGCTAGTGCGAGACGTAAGTTAAGACAAAGGAAATAACCCAAGAAAGATTATGCGGAATATTGATATGAGAATGGGCCAACGAGTAGTTAGTAGTTTATTCAGGAAGAGCCTAGTCATGGCTAGACAAGAGGATATAGATGAATCAACAAATCGTGCAAGATAAACATAGTGAACCCTAATATGGGGAATTCTGTCTCGCTAATATGACATTGTAATACTTTAGATATATTCAGATAGGAGTTGGAGTGGCTAAGGGTACCGTATGAGTGTTACGTAAATAAAAAAGAGTGCCACTAGGAAGACGGTCAAATATCAGTTTAGAAGCAACCCTACAAG